CTCAATTAGAAGCGTAGAACCTCACAATTCGTCAAACGTTTCCTGTATACGCCACTGGTTTTGCCGGCATGATATTTGCTTTTCAGTTCAAAACAAAGAAAACGTTTATTTTATTAATAGATAAAGCTAACAACAATAAACATTACGTTTGGTACAACTTACGCGGTTATTTCTAAATTTATGAGATAATATTGCCAACAAAAAATAATGCTGAATAAATGCTATAACATCCAATTTAAAGGAGGTGTGATAAGTCACCAGCTCTGGATTCAACAGGAGCCCGTGCTTTGGAAATTAACTGGCGTAGTACGCAGTGTGTGTGAAGCCTTCTGTACACTCCGTCCTCATATACTTCGTGACCGATGTTGCTACCAATTTGTGATTTCGTCTTTGTTGGGCTCACTGAATCCGAAATGCTAAAGAATTTTGAGAAAAAACGATGAGCTCAGAAGTAAAATAATATTACTCAAACCGATTGGTTCCACAAAATTACAAGTTGTGATTTTAGATGAAAAGAAGAATCTAGGATTCAATTAATGTTGTAATGAGGTGCCATTCTTTCTTCACATACCATTCATTGAGTTTCCAATATCAAGCTTCACGCTGTTTTCCGAAACCTTTTTATAAGAATATGTTAGGAATTTAGTTCAAATATTCAAACCTAAATATCGCCAAGAAGAGTGAACTGCCAAACATTTCTTAAGAGAAAAAATGTATGAGAAATTGAATGGTATTTCATAAAATGCACTTTTTTTTCCTTAAAAGCCAGTTGCGTAGAAAATATTTTCTATTAGTGGTCCAGGTTCCCAAGTTTCTACGTCTCTGGTTTAATTTAGGCCGGGAAACTCTGTGTGTTTATTGCTTATGATTAAACGTCTAAACTCTTAACTCAACATCTCTATGTGCTCCGTAACTTCATAAATAAAACTTGATCAGGGGAGTTTCCATCCCTACTGAGCGGCGCCGTGGCAAATGCTTGTTCCGGAAGTTGTTGTATCCAGTATACAACTTCTTCCAGTTCAAGCGATTGTACACGCGTTAAGGAATACCTCAGTACCGATTGCCGGGTGACGGTGCAAGTCCGCGAACAGGCCACTTAAGGTATATTTAATATCACTAACAAGTAAAAAGATAGTGGTAGACAAGGGCCAGTCGACCGAGGCGGTACCACCCGCTAGGTTTTCCCAGGGTGTCTTATAAGGGTCCGCATGTTTCCAGACCTAAGCTGTGCAGTCGGTTATCGTCCAAAACAAAGAAATCAATGATGACGGATGCCTCGAGCACTAAGAACTCCGGACGAAAACTCACTCCACTCTCGGAATGTCCGAGTGGAGGGTGGGCTCGAGGGAGCAACATCGACGATAAAATTTGTTTTTCAACATCTGCGGGATTAACAGCAACACTGATGCTGTTCATCACTACCTGCAGTCCAATCGTCTCGCCGTGCTTTTTATGGCGGAGACAAAAATCTCAGAGATATTTATTTGGAATCAGACCTCAACTCCAAAACATCACCCAAATGTATTTGCTGCCTTTATCGCTCTCCCTCGGACCATAGCTGGGATGACCTACTCGAATACCTCGCCGTCCAGATCGACTTTCTGAACATCAATCACCCCACTTCAGAGGTAGTTCTTCTCGGTGATTTTAATACCCATAATGAGCTTTGGTTGAGCTCAAACAAGACCGATGCAGCAGGTCGTGCAGTCGAAGCGATCGCTCTTACTCAAAGGCTGACCCAGCTGGTGACGAGCCCTACTTTATCCCCCGAGTTTCGTCACACGCCAGTAGCCTGCTGGATCTCTTTCTGGCCACGCATCCTGTCCTTTACAGCACTGCTGTTCTGTCCTCCCCTGGGTAACTCAGACCGCGGTGTTGTGGAGGTTAGGTTTCGGTCAGAACCCGCTGTGGCAGCAGAAACTCGTACAGGCCGCAAAACTTGGCGTTACGGACATGCCGACTGGGAGGGGTTCAGAGACTTCTTCTCTAGCTTTCCTTGAGAGACGTCTGTTTCACTGACGCGGATGCGTCGGCTGTCTGTTCTTCGATAAGCGAAATTATCCACTTCGAAATGGAGGAATACATCCCCCACACAGTGAATGTGTCTAAACCAGGGTCTAACGGCCTGTTTAACAAATCGTGTGACACTGCTCGCCAGCAGAAGATCAAGGCACACAGAACCTTCTTACAAAACCCCGCTGTAGAGAACAGACAAGCCGACTCAGAGCCCAGAAGCAAATATAACGAAGCGGTTCGCAATGCCAAAAACCAGCACGATATAAAAGTTAGGCACAGGGTAATGACGCAGCGCAATGGCAGTCGGTCTTTCTGACCGCTCGCCAAGCAGATTGAAAAGTAGCCTTCCACCACTTACATGTCAGGATGGAACTATTGTATTCGACTTAAAGGTCAAGGCGGAAGTGCTAGCCAAGATCTTTGCTCCCAACTCCATCATGGACTTCTGGTCCGGATTTGACTCTTGCCATTGTACTGACGAGGTAGGTGTGCAGCGGCGCTTGCTCCAGTTCTTTCGCGTCTCTTCCAGGTATCTTATGAATCCGGCACTTTACCAGAAAACTGTAAATTTGCTCATGTCCAACTCATCCCAAAAAAAGGATCTAAGACCGACCCTTACAACTACAGGCCTATAGCTCTGCTTTCTTTTATAAGTAAGATGATGGAGAGGTGCATAAATCGCGAGCTTCTGGACTACCTCGAGCGTCACAGCTTGATTAGCGACAGGCAGTATGGTTTCCGGCACCAACGATCCACAGGGAACCTCCTAGCTTACGTCACTCAATTGTGGAGTAAACTCATCCAGTCTTATGGTGAGGCTCATGTCGCTGCTCTTGACATCACGAAAGCGTTCTATCAGCTGTGGCACGCTGCCCTCTTAAGCAAACTTCCATCCTATGGCCTCCCAGAGAAGCTTTGCAGATGGGTGGCTGACTTTACCTCTGGCCGCAAGATATCCGTCGTCATTGACGGATTCTCCTCTTCATCCCACAACGTCAACGCGGGTGTTCCCCAGGGATCGGTCTTGGCTCCGACACTGTTTCTCTTACATATCAACGACCTCCTTTCCTGCACGATCAAACCAATCCACAGCTTCGCTGATGACAGAACTCTACATGCAGGAATTCAGAGTGACAAGCCGATCTCTGCCGCTGAGCTGGAAAAAAGAAGACTAGCGACGACTTCCTTTCTGACAAGAGACCTGGAGACTATCACAGCTTGGGGAAGCAACAATCTTGTACAGTTCAATGCTTCCAAAACACAGTACTGTACTTTGACGAACAAAAAGCGTCCTGGCGCTCATTCGGTTTCGATGGATGGCCGAGTTCTGCCAAAGAGCCATTCGTTTCGGCTGGTCGGAGTCCAGATCACCGAGGACCTGATCTTGCACGAACACATCTCATCAATAGCTGCAGCTGCTGGGAAAAAGCTAGGCTATTTGTTTAGGGCTAAGAAGTACTTTTCTCCGCATGATCATCTTACTCTATACAAAGCCCAGATAAGGTCTAGACTCGAGTATTGTTCACACGTTTGGGGTGCTGCCGCCCCGACTACGTTATCCATGCTCGATGCTGTCCAGAGGAGGGCGGTCCGACGATGACTCTTCTCTAACAGACAGTCTCGGGACTCTTTCGCATCGGCGGGCCGTCGGCGATCTAGCTCTTTTCTACCGCTACACCAACGGGCTTTGCTCCTCAGAGCTCTCCTCCATGATACCGCCGCGCGATATGCCTGCCAGACAGACCCGCCTGACTTTAGCGTCCCATCCTTACCGTGTTGAACTTCGTACATCCAGAACTGACCGATACGACCGCTCCTTTGTTCCGAGGGTGTCGAGACTGTGGAACAATCTACAAGAGGAGGCTTTTCCCAGTTCTACTCACCTTAGGCAATTTAAAAATCGTATTAACAAAATTTCTTTGGGATCTTCATAGCAGCCGCGGTGTTCCGGCATGTAGGCTTCTGCCTGCGCGGCTGCTTCTATATAAAAAAAATTACCCTGCATCTAGGTACGGGAGCATCTTTTGGCTTATATTTATAGGAACTTTTTCTGTTAATATTGGTACGCCTTTCTGAAATTCCCGGTATAGATGTATAATGTTTGTGGTTTGCAGTATGGGTTACTTCTTAACGGATAGTCTCGGTAGGATTTCGATAAGAATTTGAGAGCGATCTTTTGCATTTTTCTAACGACACGGCACGAACAGCGCATTTTTGTGAGATGCAAAAAATACTAGACTCGTGCAATCATCCATTTAGACTCTGAATATTTTTCATTTTTAGTAGAGATAGATCAGAAATGTACTGGAATTCTTAAGGAGGGTTCGCGAAATAAGAAAAATACCTACTTGTACTTCATTCTAAATACCTGTGATTCATGATCTTGACCAACCGGAAAACTTCAAGAAAATTCTACTCCTCTATCAAGATATCATCTTTTTCATGTACATTCCAATATATAATAATTGTTATTCAGTGAAGACAAAAAGAAGAGTTGCTGAGAGGACTTCCTTGTGGAGGACCACACCACGTGCGTCGACGGATATAAAAATATCTGGCGCATGTCGCTCGGTTCCTAACGACGATGTCGGCTGTCCAAACAGAGTAATGTCATACAAGCGGCAGCGGCGACCTGGCGATGGAGCGGCGCGGCTGCTAAGGCTCACTTACAGATAAATCAGGATCGAATTTCAAGCCTTCCTTCGGATGGTTGAAACCTTGATATACAGAGGACACTCAGACGCTCAGACTTGTCCCCATGAAACTACATCGAGCGATATACATTGGTGATAAACTGAGGAAGGTGGGATGACGCTCTTTTCCAGTAACTAGGACCCACCGAATGTCAATCCTTTGGCCGAAGCAGAAACCGATGTCCCGTTAATCAAAATTGTGGAAGTATAACGAACGCTTGTGACACTGGATCTGTTTTTTATGAGTTGTGTCCTAGGTTCTAATGCAATATTGCATGTTTCCTTTTTAAGATCAGCACAAATTAGAATTACCAGAACCATTAACTTTAGTCCCAAACAAAGCTGAAACTATTTTCAATTTCCGCAAAGCAAACTTTGTCTTTATGTACGAAATAATGTCGACTAATGATTGGAGTGATATTTATCAGTGCATGGATCCTAATGCAGCGACTGAAATGTTGCAACAAAGTTTGTATAGAATATTCGAACGAACTGAACCCAAAAAAATTATTCCGACCCGTAGGTTCCCACCATGGTATTCCTTAGACACAATAAATAAAATAAAAGAAAAAGAACGAGTACATAAAAACTCCAAAAGATATGGAGATGAAGCATCTCGTACAAGATTTGATTCTTTAAGAAGGACGATAAAAACTCAAGCTGACAACGAATATCCTAATTTTATTTTGGCAGCAAAAAGCAATATTTTATCAGATCCTTCTCAGTTGTGGAATTTTATCCACAGTATAAAAGGAATATCCCGTTTACCTGGTATGATGAAATATAATGAAACTACCTTAACAAAACCCCAAGATTTTGTTGACTCATTTAAACAGTATTTTTCGACAGTTTATACACCTCCTGATCAAAACCTTAGTGAAAATGTAATCCTGGATTATGGAAACTCCTTGTTTATAGATTTGCCTCAAATATGTGAAGCTGATGTTCTTAAAGCGGCGAAAAAGTTAAAAAATAAGTTGATTATAGGCCCTGATCAAATACCCAGCTTCTTAGTGAAGGATTGCATACGTGCGCTACTCAGACCATTAATACATCTATTGAACATTATTTTGAAGACGAGCATCTTTCCAGACAACTGGAAGATATCCAGAGTTACCCCGGTGCTGAAGAAGAGTGATAGAGCTTTAATTAAAAATTACCGCGCAATCGTTTCAGTATCCAACTTTTCAAAGCTATTTGAAATTATTGTTTATGAAGCGATTTATATTCACACTAAAAACCTAATTGTAGCAGAACAGCATGGCTTCCAAGAGAAAAAATCTTGTACGTCAAATCTGGTATGTATTATTACGGATGTAGTTTACATGGATTTACAGAAGGCATTTGACCGAGTAGACTTATACATTTTAATGGAAAAATTACAAGGATTTGGGTTTTCGGCACGTATTCTAAGCTTGCTTAAATCGTGTTTAGTTAATCGAGTGCAAATTGTGGAATATGAAGGGCACCGCTCTGATATTTTCTCGCCAACATCTGGGATTCCCCAAGGATCGAATTTAGGACCTCTTTTGTTTTTGTTATATATAAACGACCTAGCTATGATGATTACATGGCAAAAGTTGCTCGATGCGGATGACCTCAAAATTTTTCATAATGGTCCTACAAAATAAGCGAGAATGAGTTGAATAGGTGCTATCAAATTAAAGATATCGGTGTTCTCTTTGATAGCAATTTGTGAATTTGTGATCATATAAATGATCTCACAACATCAGCCAACCGAATGTTGGGCTTCATCATCCGAAACAGTAGACAATTTTCCAATTTACATGTTTTGAAACTTCTTTATTCTTCGTACGTTCGTTCTAAATTGGAAAGCTGTTCTTTAATTTGGTATCCCATCTATTCGGTTCATATAAGCCGTATTGAGCGAATATAAAGAAAGTTTTTGAAATTTCTGCATTTCAAGTGGACAGGCAAATATCCGGAGAGAGGATGTGATTATTCTGTACTCATGAATACATTTGACTATATGTCGCTAAATAGTAGGAGAGTTATAAGTAGTTTAAATTTTCTTTATGATGTTTTGCACAATGTTGTCATATGTGAATATATATTAAGTAAGCTTAACTTTCATGTACCTGTGCGCAATTTGCGTCAACAAATGACATTTTACTGCGAATTAGCTCGAGAAAATCGCCGGTCACGGTTATGTGTGAGAACTTCAATTCTTTAGTTGAATATTGTGATGTGAATACTTCATCTAGAAATGACTTTAAACAACGTTATCTGGCCATTTCCCATGGCATGTAATGACCTTTTTGCGGTTAGAGTTATTCTTTTTTTTTCTAATATTTTGGCTTTTTGATCTAGCTGTATTATTAATTTGATGGTGTTTTTTTTATATACTAGGATTATGTGTTGCTCTTGTTTTCTTTTTGAACTATTTCCTGTAATTGGGTGATTGTACCTGTTGGAAATAAAGATCCATCTATCTATCTATCTATCTAAAAAAAACATAATGATATTTCGATGTCTATGAATACCTACTTCAATACAATTGTTACATTTGTTAGAAAAATTGGAACAATGTTTCATTTAACATATACGAATATTTCGGAAATGGCACCTGGAACATTTTTGATTTCAATGTTCTGGAACAAGAAGATATTTACAATAAAAAACGGCGTCAAATAAGTTGACCCTTCTCTTCGTACGCAACGCCGTCATCAATCCATAAGGCATAATTTAGTCCATTTTAGAAAAAGATTGGATACGAAAATGTTTAACAAAATAGATTGAATGGACTAAGTCAATAATGCAGTCTAGTCTACCGCCGAATCACCAAAGCTTAACCGATTTTTATTTTTTCTGGAAATGAGTGACATGGTTTTTCGTGAATTAGATGTCATGTAACATTCAAAAACCATTATATTTCATTTTCGAAATTTTTCGCGATTACAATTCCATGCCAAGGCCGTAGAAATTAAAATGATTTCATTTTAAATATTCTCAGCGCTAGTTATACAATTCCCGATATCATTAAACTTTTTCAGAATTCTACCGTACAATAAAGTTTAGTTTTAAAATGAACTGATCATTCGAATCATTTTATTTTTTGGCCTGGAATTAGATAAATACGTCGATTTCGATTATAATGATAAACTTCAACAAAAACTACATGAAGCTCAAACACAAAAATAGTAGCAAACCAACACCGACTAGTACACTGGCTTTTCTTCGATTGTACTGTGACAAAAAGTTTGTTTTTTACTTGTGACATTTATACGTATTCATTGAGACGACGGCTATGAGAACAATTCAGTAAAATACCATCAAAATAACAATCAACATTGAGGCTAGGGTCAAACTCGTCTAGTCTCCCTGATAAAAAAGCTTCAATCCGATTTTGTAGAAGTCTAAAAAACTGACTAGACCCTTTTAACTATTTACCAGCACTTACTGGTAGCTCAAAGGTATTGCAGAGTACCTAATCGTTCTCAACAGAAAGGAATGAACTAAGAGCTCATACTCGTATAAATAGTAAGACAAAAAAATGAGCGAAAGGCAGACCTACAACATACCAAAGATGACCCTAGTAAATATTTTACTGTTTTTGAGATATTAATTTTTTTTGCCTTTTTCGAAAAATTTCCTCGTTTGACCCACCTTTTGTTGCTGATTAGGCAGGTAATTTATCGCAGAACTTTGCAGTAGCATTTTTATTTCATTGCTGAATACAAAAGTTGAGTAAATCAGTTTTCTAAAACAAAAATTACGAAGACGAAATTAGTTTGTCAAGTTTACCTACTTGTATTTATCGAAAATGATATTTCAAATGGCAAGCCAACTATCTGATAATATTTTGCAAAAAAAAACAAGATACCCTGTTATTTTTTGGCACAGCAACAAAAGATATATTGAAAAAAGGGAGACAAAAGAATTAATATCTCAAAAACAGTGAAACCTTTACTAGGGTCATTTTTTGGTATGTTGTAGATCTGCTCTTCGCCTATCGTCCCTACTTTTTTGTCGTACTATTTACCGGACGATACTTATCATTTTTAAAAGAGGTTCAATGGTTCCTGAATTTGATGATCAAGATTAATTGCATTTTTTCCTTGGTACGCTATATTTTCGGAAAATTTCCTACAATAGTGATTTCTGGAAACTTTCCGCATTCAGACAACCCTTGGGATTTTTTTGGGCAAATGCCGAATGTGCGGCAGAATATGTTTTTTCTAATCACACATCAATGCCGTTAATGTCATAGGCGACTCGTGCTTTGTTGATGTAATTATTAGGTGGCATACCCTGATAGCATGAAATTGATATTCATTAAACATTTTTAACAAATGTTTGCTAAATATTAGTATCGACAGATTTCTTAATATTCAGTAAATAAAGTTTTTATATATTCTTAAAATATTCTTTATAGATATTTAAGTCATTTATTTTAACAGTGTGTAGATCTGATCAAAAGAAATGTTTTTTTCCTTTACCATTTTTCTGGTAAAATTAAAGTAACAAAGTTATAGCCCTTTGGAAGTTTGAGTACCGCCCTGTCTCAATAATATCATGTGTTCGTGTTTGGCAACAACGGTTCATCGCATCGGAAACAAAAAAGCGAAAGAATTTGGAACGATGTTTTTACGATTACAATTCAGTTCAGTTATACATACAGTCAGTTTCAGTCGCGTGTGAATAGTGTCTGTTGCGTGGCTCAAACGAAATAAAAAATGGCACATGTTTATGCGGATCGGTTTCCCAATCGAGTGCAACCAACCCCTCGTGCCTTTGTTAATGTAGTACAACGGGCTCGTGAATCAGGTGACTTAAGACCTCACAGGGGACCTCACGATCAAATACAGGTCCGCACTGAAATACTTGTCGGGAGGATACTTTATAAAACAAGGTAAAATTTTTTTTTAATTTTTTTTTTATTTTTACACACATATTTTGGTTTATCTTCCTTCTACAATCATTATCTGAAAATTAATGACTCAACTTCAAAGTCACCCTGTATAATTTATATATCTTCGTCATACTTTTTTTTTCAAATATTCAGAAGAGGAAAGATTTTTAGATATCCGGTTTATATTTTGATGAAATATCTAATACTTTTCGTAAATATTTAGGGGATACATGAAGCAACACATTTTCAAGCATTAATCTGATACATATTACCAGTGTATTCTTGAAAATTCTTCATCGGTTATTTCAGCAAAGTTTGTAGGAATGGTTTTCTAAAATTTGATTATAAAGAAAATTCATTTTAGATGCAATCAATGGTTTAATTTGCTAGAAAAGTGTCATTAAAATATTCTAGATCTCTTCTGCCTCTTGCTAATCCATTCCACTGGAAAAAGACTTAGTATTTATAAAGTACTATTGAATGCATAAGCAGCTGTACACTGGTTTTTGTTTGAGAGTGATATTCTCCTGAACCGCTCTAGAAAGTGTATATATGGGAATATAAAAAGCAGTGGAGCGATACGGTTGCTAAGCACTGCTGAGTTACTCCGAGTAACTCATCTGGATCACCGAACAGCTCTATAATGCACTTTAAAGAACTCGGCATATACTTCTTATGGGAGATTTGCTGATTCTTATGCAGATTTGGTATGTTTTAGATATCTTGATGAAAGTGTCCATGGGCACAACTTGATCTTTAGACTAGCTTTAAAAAATGTTTTTAAAATGGAACACTTACTGTTTTTGCTGAAATGTGATCTTTTCTTTTTACAGTAGTAGAGTGCTAATTTAGCTTTAGCTATTTTGGTATGTTATAATTCAGGAGACAAAAAATATAG